GCATGTGTATCCAGACGACGAAAAAGTACTTACGGGGGGGAGATAATGAGAAGAAAAAAGCGGCAAGCTGGGACCCGGGGATGTCAAAAGAATGCCCACTGAGTTCATTGAGTGAACAACAGCTAACTGATAAAGATTAGTATCCGTACCACAGACTTGCCTGTTCAACAACGTAGATGCTGTAGGCTACCTTCTGATGCCGCAGAAAGGGGTGCATGTGCTTGAGGAAGACGGTGAGATTGTCGTAGCGGTCTCTGAAGGGAATAATGATGGCCACTGTCTGCTGAGCCGTGCAGTTTACTGGGTTCCAGAGACTCGCCCCAGTGGCACCCTCAGTGGCACTGTCAAAATGCGTAAGCCTGTAGAGTAAATCCAATTTCAACTGGCCGTCCAGTCCAAAGGACCGCTGCGCAGCGCCTTCCCCCCATTCCTGTTCCAGCTGATCAAAAGCAACCGGGGACTGGTCTACTTTAATGCGATGAACTAGAAGCAAAGCGGGTAAAGATTCCTTATAGGTTACACCCCAGTAACAAAAACCCGCATTTGTGTAATACGGGGACGGTGAGAAAGGGGGTTAAATGGGTGGATTATATCAGGGGAAAGGAAAATCCTAAAAAGGAGAGCGTATAAAAGTATAAAATTCATAGGGATAATCATTTAAATAACCTAGTGTAGGGCGCGCGATAATTAAGGCGAGAAATACAACCAATAGGAAACAGGAAGCGCGATAAATTCGGGACGACGTAAATTGCGAACTGCTCAAACAGCCGCGAATTTCCGAGGTAAGTGTAAAACTATGAAATGTAGGGTTTTTTTCAGTTTCTTAAAATTCACAATGGCAGGTATAATAGAACAAGCTAAAAAGCAGCCGATTTCGCTAATAAAACTAAACTAAATCTAATAAAACTCGAAGCTAAACTAATAACTAAATTAAACAAAAAGAAACTGAAAAAAAAACTAAACTAAACCAAATAAAGTAAGATGGACCAGTCTAAAATAAACCAACTAAACTGAAAAAAAACTAAAGTAAAACTAATAAAACTAAATAATAAACAAAAAATAAGCCAGAACTAAAGTAAAACTAATAACCGCAGCATGCTAAAGATTTCTATTTGAGGAGTGCAGTGGAGTGATGAATACTGAATGTGTACCCAAGAAAACAGATTTTCTACAACGCAATTGGTAAAGTACAGTGTTACTTAAAAGGAATCCTTAGCGCAAAGCATCCCCAATGCAATCAACTGGCGACCGGTGCATATACAGCTATAAACATTTGCATAAAAAGACATCTGCAATAAGGTTATAATGATCGAGGTAGGTACAGAAGTAGTAAAGAAGACCTAGAGATTCACTCAGTCGTGACATAACTTGGGTTGATACGTACTTTGGTAGACCAAGTGACTGAATGGTTAAAATCTCGGCGGCTTCGGTGCCGCTTGAAGTCAGGGCAGCAAGTACCAAGCTTATGTACAGCCAACTCTCTCTAACCGGCTGAGCTAGGAGACTCCGTCCGGGAGCCACGACTTAAACCACATGTAAGTCAAGTTACCCGCCAAGCCTACTGCAGTGGATGGACTACGCCATATAGTTAGCTGACTACCTGGCTCCCGTAATTACTGCTTTTAGCCTATTTGCATAATTCATGTTGCCCAATTGTGCTGGATTCCATACGTGGCATTAGATTGGGCGGGTACCTTGACTTAAGTGGGATTAAGGTTCCGGCTCTCGGCCGACCCTTCCTCTTGCTGTTTTGAGTCCGAACCTCAATGAAGCTACCTAGTTCTTCAAAAATGCGACACGTCAATAGCATGGGCTGAAAAAAGGTTAAAGCTGAGCACTTGTCGGTGTTTAAAACCTCGAACAAAGTCCATCACCCTAACCGGTGAGTTTAAAAACAAGTACCAAACGGCTGCCGTCATGGCAACTGACGCCAGTCAACTGCTCCCCGTCATTCTCAGTAGAACGCAGACTGGAAACTAGCTTTATTATTGAGTGGTCTGCAACCCCACCACGATAGGTGTCGGTGGCATAGGCAGATGGACTTATGAAGGTTAGGATGACTGCCGACATAGCTGCCTTGGCCGTAGGGTTGGAATGTGGTGACTAGGCTGCGTTAAAAATATCCGATTCAAATTGCGTTTGCCTTTGTGTGGGCATACGTGGAACGTGAAGCCTTCCTGGAAAATGAACTCAAATAAGTGTATCGGCTGGGTTTAGATCACGTTGAGATTATCCAACTGCGACAATTACGAGACCGGATGTACCTTGATTACTAGAAGAACCAAATCCCGCTGGCAGTTATCAGAAGTGAAGAGACACCAGTAGGAGGTGGCTTCGACACACGGTTGTCTCTCCGCAAGGGCGATACGGGTGCAAATGATCAATTATCACGTGAGGGCCAGCCGCCGTCGCGTAGACTGAGTAAACAGGGGCTGCGATTGGCTGGCTGAAGGTCAAACTCCTAGGTGTTTAATCCGCTAGAAAGCGGTGATCATGTTATCCGCGGTGCAATGTGTGTGTGTCAATGGAGGAGAGCTTAAGCTCTTTGCGACGCTACCAACTACTCTTTCAGGCAGCAACTTACGAAGCAATCGTACAAATTCTTGGCACCCAAATCCTCGGAATGTTGAGCTTTGTTTATGTTCCATCAAATATAATGGAGCTACCGTCCACTGGCAACGGATTAAATGCGCCAAATGACAACTGGAAGAGGTATAAGTCGTCTTCTGCACAGAAGTTAGTTATTGAAATAAATTCAAGCAGCACACAGCATAAATTGCATTTGCGTAAATAGTGTTTGAAGCAATAACTATCTGGTCTCAACGGGCCTGAGTGAAGGAATGATCGAACTCACTTCAGAACATTACTACATGATTACTTCACGATACCGCACCTCGATTTGCGCGGCTGCATTCTATCGCAGATTTGATATGCA